GTGGGAGCAAACTTGCGCTGTTTTAAGATAAATGAGCAACCAAAGGCGGATTTACGGAACTTAAGATAGAACTTTTCACAATGCCGCAGTACATTGTAGGAAACATATTTGGATATAGAAGTTACAAAATCGTGGAGTTTACCCTAAAAAGGTCCATTTAATCATTGGAAAATTATGACCCGATAGTAATTGTTGATGTTGGGGCGCTTCATGTTTGAGCCATGCCATATGGATGAGGTGGAGTTTCACGCGCCCCTGCGCGAGTCAAAAAGCAAGCGCTGGCTTTCGTTCCACCCCTTCTCAGGTTGATGTCCACATGGCTAACATGGACGCCCTATTTTTTAGAGGTTTATTTTTGTATTTTTTTTTTTTGTTTATTTTTTGTATTTGTTGTAGTTGGTTGCCTGGGCCATGATTTTTTAGATGGTCTTAGACCCCCTTGCATCCTAGGTAGGCATTCTTTAGATGTGCCATTTTAGTAGTGTAAGGTGGACCTCCGTTTTTTGTCTAAAGAATGCTGGAGTCCTTGTGAGCAGGATAATTCCAAGGAGAATTGTAAATGCAAGAATTTGTGTTAAAACACCTTCCAGAGTTGAAGAATGTTAAAGATGTGCTTTTAAAATTCACCTAAAGATACCTAATAAATTCCAATAATCCTAATATGAATACAAATGAATAAGTTTATATGTTCTTATATGATTGCATGCGCATCTTATTAATGATGCTTGACTGCGCCGTCGTCCATTCGATTGCAACTTGGGCATCTAATTCTTTAAAGGGGCACCCCTTCGTGTGCAACTTGGGTCAATCCTTTGATGGGACATGTGTGGCTACTGTGTGCAATCTTGGTTCATTGGGGGTTAGATTTTTTAAGGCTGAAATTTGCTTTGGTTTGCATTCTTTAAGAGGCTACCAGTGGTTCCTTAAAGATTCAGGGGCCAGGGTGAGGACCCGAATTGCAAGGGTGATTTTAGAATTTTTTTTACCTATAAAGCGCAGATTCGATGCGTGATGTCTTAGTTTTTGGATGATTTTTTTGTTATGCATTTTTTTTTGGCCAAAGCCGATTTAGTTCGCGACTTACGGCCGTTGGCCCTACCCTGCTGTTCGAATGATTATGGGGGGCAAAATCAGGCGGAAAGAGAATCAGTTTACGCAAAGGTGAAATTTGAAGACAGTAATTTGTACAAAATTCTACTAGTAAACAGGAATTTATGTACATGTATCGTTCTGCAGAGGAGTAATTGGCAAGTAACTATTGGATTCCGTATCTGGCGTATCACGCACAGACGTTTTACATAGAGTTCGTTCACACAGGGTACCGTTCAAAACGAGTTCGATTACAGACATTTTACATAGAATTCGTTTATACAGAGTATCGTTCAAAACGAGTTTGATTACACCAAAATCTGTGATTAGTTGAAAGGGGGTTTATAAGCCCTTGTTGCATCGATGAGCGCTTCGCGAATGACTAGGGTTCGATGATCAAAGTTGAGGTTTGGTAGTCCATCATTATTAGCCTTCAGTATGTTCTAAGCCAATTTTATGTTTTTAATAGTCCAATTTTTTCTGGATTTGCCGATTCTTCGATTGGATGGGGTTTTTGGTAAAGCTAAATAGGAAGTAAAAGTAATTTGATGCTGAGGGTATGATCGCGGTTTTTTTAGTATATGCCCAAGTAGTTTGAGATATTTTGTTTTTAAAATTTTAGTTCAAGGTCTGATTTTACGAAGAGGCCCCTGAAAAGGAATACTAATTACTTCATTTGCTCGTTGGTAAACGAATTTTTATCTACATAAGTGGTGTGTAGGTGCAATATTTTT